CTAAACTCCATGTGGTATTTAAGAACATGTTTCAAAATCCCTCCAAAATTAAGAGCCCCCACAACCCCAAACATCTCACGGCCCATTGCCAGACTTGAAAGGTCCAAACATCCCTGCATAGGGGGGTCTATCCAACCCCCCATTTCCAAACCAAACCAAACTTTATCTTTCCAAATCTGGCTTTTTCCAAGTTCATTTGTCAAGTCCAAAAGCTCATGTTCCTGCTGGGCCACAGCTCCTTCATCTCTGGCGCCCAAGATTCAGCAACATCCTCTTCCCTCATCTGTTCTGTCAGGGCACACTCCTGATTTAATTCCTGGGTGGGCTCCATATAATTTCCCACTGCCTGTTCAAAATTTCTGATCGCATCAGTCATCAAGTCCGTCTTCTCATGTAGCTGTTCCAGTAGGGCATTTGTTTTACAGAAAGCACGCAACAGAGCTTCTGAATACATTGTCCTGCAAGGTCAGAAGTCTATTCCCACGATTGTAATCTGTAACAGCTGCAAGCTCCCCGGAGTTGGTTACAGTTTCACAGTCTCCCTCTAGGGGAAAACTTCTATTTGTTCTTTCTTTTAAAGACAAGTCTAACAACAAAGTTTCCTTTTTCAGATATTTTGTCAATATTTGTTCCTTTAAAATGCGAAGGGGAACAATGGAATCAATGTTTCTCTTCTTATAGCTATCTGTCAAAAACGTTTGTCTCTGGTCAATGAGCTTCAAAAAACGTCAGTCCTGACACCCCGCTCCAGGATCAGGACGGTGGAAAGTTACTTTACTTTACACTCACTTCTGCAGGTTTAAACAGTCCGAAAAAATCCCCCCTCTTCTCCTGCTTCCGAAGGGGGGTTCAACAATTTTAAATGATGAAAGTTAATCTTTTACAAGCGATTTTCTGAGCTCTAGTTTGCCATGTCTTTGCTTTAATCTATCTACAAAGAAACGGAAGGCTGACTTCCTGTTTAGACCTTCCCGTTTCAGTGCCAAATTGAGGTAAACTTTTAAGTCCAATTTTCCTTTCTGCTCGCAAGTCCTTATTTAAAGTCCAATTGTCCGAAATTTAAGTACTCACGGGTGATTATTTTAGAAGCCAAATTGTCCCAGGGAAAAGGCAGCGCTCTCCGGCAACGGCTGTGCGGCTTCGCTCCACGGAAGAAGCAGTTGACTCTCAGCACCGCGCCACTTCCCCCTCTTCGCTCCGGAGCCCGTTAGTGGGTTCTTTTGCGGGTTGGGGGGGCGCTAAAGGTGCCCGCCGAGTCCCATGGTCACAGGCTTCATCCGCCTGTGATTTTTGAAAGGGTCCCCGCTTCGCCGTAGCGGAAAAGACCCGTTTCGCGTGGAGCTAGTCCCTCCAGATCAGAGGGAGTCCGCCATTGCCGATGGCGCCACCCCGGAAGTCCCAAAGCAATTTATTGTCATCCTTATCTGATTCTGAGGTTCTTCGCAATCTTATTGAGGTAGCTCCATCTCACCTGTTCCAAGTCATGTTACTTATGGTTTAAATCCGGGGCTGCTCCAGAAAAAAAAAAAAGCCTATTGGAAAGAGAAAAGGAATAAGAATTAAGAGGTTGACATTTCCCGCCCCCCAATACAAATTTGACATCTCTTTTGACATTTGCTGTAAAAGAAGTCTCCTGTCATGGACATACTTCACGCCAACCGTATTCAAAATAAAATGTCAAAAATGTTGAAGTGAAATGTCACACTCTTCATGTATTTCATTCTCTTGACAAGTGGATGCCTAGCCCCTCACCCCAGCACCTCACAATGGCTCCCAGTCTTCTTCCATCTCACTGTTGTGCTTCCATCCTTGTCTCCCTCCTTTTCTTAGCCTGCTAGCTCCCCTCTTCAAAGAATTGAACAAACCCCCAGATTTTGCTTTCAGTTAAGCCCCTCTGGGCAGCCCCATGCCATTTCCACCCACCCCGAAGCACAGATGTTGCATAGTCATATTTTGGCACTACCGCCTTGGCCTACGAATGATTGTTGTAAAAAAAGAAGTGTTGGGGCTTTAACATATTTGGAAACCGCTGCCCCCGAAACTTCCAGAACTCCACCCCATTCATTTCAGTGCAAAGGAAATGCTATGCAAATGGTGGACAGGAGCGGGGGGCATACTCAGTTATGAATAAGCCATTTTGGCCCACATTTTCCTTCTCAGTGGAATTATCTAACATCCCTAGCTGAGATAGAGACCCACCCTCTCAACACCCGCACCACTGCTGGTTTACTCAATGGGGCAAGGGCAGGGCATCAGTAAGGTCAGGGTTGCATGGGTGCAGCAGAGGGTAATCAGATTGGCTCTGCCAGTGTGCCTTCACAGGCCCAACCCCCCTGGTTCCCTGCCCCACTCCAGCGCTGCCTAGGTAAGCAGACTCACCACTGGTGTCAGGAGGAGGGTGGCTCCTTGGCTCTGCCCCACAACACTGGCTGCTACTAGCCTACAGTTTCTCTACCTGCTGAGCAGTAAGTAGAACTCCTTGGGATCCCTGGCTAGATGTAAATATCTCTTTTGAACGTTTTGGATATGCGCGACTCGTCTTGTTGGTTTGCCAAGGACCGAAATTAATTTATTTTTTCTAATGATCAATTATACACCCTGGCTTTGCTTGATGCTTAATGTGGGGTTTATGACAGAACAAATTTAAAAGCATTTTTATTGCACCCTCCAGCTGTATGGAAATTGTGATTTTAAGGCTCAGCACTGTAGTAATGCAGAAGAAGGAAAAAGCTGATTTTCCTTGATTGAGCAAAACATACAAACAGTGTGGGCTCGATTTGTTTCATAGTGATGGCCACCAACTTGGATGGTGTTAAAAGAGATGTGGCAGATTCATGGAGGAGAAGGCTACCAGTGATTACCTTAGGTCTGCTTCCCTTTTGACTGCAGCATCTGGGCTTGATGAGGCACGTGCCCCTCACCTGTTCCAAGCCTACTCCAGCTGAGGAATCACACACCTCCTCCCAGAGCTAGCGAGTCTGGCCAGCTAGGGAGCTGGGCTCTGGGCCCTTGCCTGCCTCAGCTTCCTGGAGCACCCCTCTTGCTGCTCCTTACACCTCAGAGCCTGCCATATTTGTGAAGACAGGAGGCCCTCTGGCTCTGGTGATGGGTCCTGCTGCTCTGGTTCCTGTGTACTGACCTCCACCCTCTCGTTATCCTCCATCACCCTGTGACTACTTCCTTCCCCATCTCCTGCTTGCCTCGGTGTGTCCCAGTCCTGGCTACACCCCTCGCTGGGATCCTCTTCCTCCTCCCCGTTGTTCTGCCAGTTCATGGCAGCTTACAGGCTTACCAGAGGTGTTTGGTTGGCCACTGTGAGGAGATGACGGTGGACTGGATGGGCCTTTGACTGTATCTGGCAGGCTGTCCCTGTGTTCTTATGCTTAGGTACAGGAAAGGATCTAAGAAAGCGAAGAGTTGGAAGGTCAAATTCATAAGGTGCCATCTAGCAGCAGCGTCATTATATGGATAGGGCACCTACCTTAATAGAAGCCTAGATGTGATCACAATAGACAGATGTTTTAAATGGTGTTAGATTATGTAATATTTTCAGTGTGGAATATTTACCCATTTTCAAAATAAACAAAAAAGAAAAAGCATGTATATTGCCTTGTTTGGCAGATTCATGCATATCTCAGCTTCTTCTTGGCCCACAACCTGGAGCCTGATACAGTAAAGCAGATCCAGCTACTGTGGAGGAAGAAAACTGAACACAAGAACACAAGAATTCCAAATTACTTTCCAAGACAATGCACAAGCAGAAAGACAGCCATCTTGCAAAATATAGCACTTTCCAAAATTTTGCAATGCCAGTTCTCCAGCCCAGTAATGTGTACAAAAATCCACATAAAACATGGATAAAAACACATATATTGGTGAAAATAACATACCAAAAAAAAGCATTATATTAGGAGAAATTGTATGCAATCATGTATACATTGGTGGAAATTGAATTAAAATGTGTGTATTAGGGGAAATTCATACTATAAATGCTGATGAATCTTCATAAGGACTTTTAAGAAATATGTTGCAAACTGATGTGGAACTTGAACCTAAGGGTGGAAAAATGAGAAACGGAAACCAACAGATTCACCTGCCCCTAGTTGCAGGTGCGCATGTGAATGGGATGTGCACTGCTCCTAAATATACATATTTTTGCAAAGCAACTGTCCCAAATATACAGTCATATCTCGGCTTACAGATGCTTCAGGTTGTGTTTTTTCGAGTTACGGACCCCCAAAACCTGGAAGTACCAGAATGGGTTACTTCCGGGTTTTGGCGGTCACGCATGCGCAGAAGTGTCGAATCGCAACCCGCGTGTGCGCAGAAGCGCCGTTGCGGGTTGCGGATGCTGCGGGTTGCGAACGTGCATCCCGCACAGATCATGTTCGCAACCCGAGCATCCACTGTAATGCATTTCTGTACTGTAATGAGTATGGGTTGCTCGTGCGTAAGTTGCCGCCTCTCCTGGCTATGTTGCCTGGTTAAACCTTTCTGTCTGGACAGCCCTTCACTTCGTGGCTGCCTCAGTCGCTAGCAGAATCCGTCAGTGGGCATTTCTTAAACCTTTTCCAACATAAAAGTTGTTTGACGCCAAGTCTCCTCCTACTCTCCCTGCGCGGAAGTCTTCTGCGCAGGGAGCGCGTGGGTAGCGGAGGACCTGTGCTCTCCCCGCTGGTGTCCGGTGAAGAGTCTAGGAGCCCTCTCGCCGATTCCCCCATCTGCCCCTCCTTATTCCTGGTGTTGCGCTGATTTGCTTCCCCATCTGCTGAGCTGCCTCTCTCCCTGCTGGGCCCTTCTCCAGCATCATTTGAGAGCCTTCCCTCCGCCCCTAGCTCCAATGTCAGTTCCCTGACATGTACATTATTTTTGCTAATATTGATTTATCTAATATTTCTGTAATGAAGCGCCCAAATTGAATAACAAGAAATAAATGCACACAAACCCAATTTAAAAAATAACAGTAATCTTGGTTCATCGAGCAAGGCAGTTGCAAACCGGGAAAGGCTATAGCTCAGTGTCAGAGCACCTGCTTTGCATGCAGAAGGCTCCAGGTTCAAATCCCAGCATTTCCAGTCACTGCCAGTCAGTGTAGTCAGTGTAGACAACAATGAGCTAGATGGATCAATGGTCTGGCTCAATTTAGGTTCATACCCCAAGAGTTCAGTGAGGGAAGATTTATCATGGGTTGAAAAGGTGGTGGACTAGTTTTGGGGGGATGGGGGTAAGCACAGGGAAATTAATCAGCTGTGAGAGACTCCCCTGGCCTGATCTCTTCAGCACGTTTTCAAAGGATCCCTAAGCAGCCAAGTCTTTCTTCCCCTTCCCTGCTTTTCCTCTGAACATGCTGTATGAATTAGTGTCTCGACGAAAAGGATATTGTTGGTTCCTGTGTGGAGATAATAACCTCTGGTAGCGCCGGGAATTTCACCCATGCAGAGAGAATTTACCAAACTATTTCAGCCGTTGCTCCGTAGCCCTCGCACAGGGATCCATTTACTCTGCGGCCCAAACAACTTAATGGAAACAAACTTGCCACCAGGAAGTACGAATTTAGGGTGGAATGTTGCTATAATTGCTAAAAGCCCATGTTTCCACAAATCGAAAGCGGGCAGCCCTCCTCCTTCCAAGGCTACAGCTTCAAAGTAAACAGTGCTAAGCCGGGCCAAGAGATCTTGATGATCTTGATTCCCACCCACTCTCAACCCCTTTAACTGTGTGTGTGTAATCTATATATGTGTTTGTGTGTGTGTGTGTGTGTGTGTGTGGAGGGGGAAGAGAAAGAGGGCATATATATTTATCGGGTATAAAGCACATTTGATGGAAATGGAAGGTCAGTGAAGGACTAGGGAGAAGGGACACTTGAGAACATGGGTAGGCAAACTAAGGCCCAGGGGCTGGATCTGGCTCAATCACTATCTCAATATGGCCCGCGGATGGTCTTGGAATCAGCGTGTTTTTACATGAGTAGAATGTGTGCTTTTATTTAAAATGCATCTCCGGGTTATTTGTGGGGCACACGAATTTGTTCATTTCCCCCCCAAAAAATAGTCCGGCCCCCCACAAGATCTGAGGGACAGTAGACTGGCCCCCTGCTGAAAAAGTTTGCCGACCCATGCTTAAGAACATAAGAACTTTTTATGGTCCATCTAGTCCAGCATCCTGTTCCCACAGGGGCCAACCCAGATGCCCACAGGAAGCTAAGCAGCAGGATTTGAGCACAAGAGCACTCTCTTCTCCTGTGATTTCCAGCAACTTCTGTTCAGAATATTGCTGCCTTCAACTGTGGAAGTACAGTAGAGCATATTGATAGCCCTCTCCTCCATGAATTTGCCCAGTCATCTTTCAAAGCCATCGAAGTTGGTGCCCATCACTATCTTCTGTGGGAGCAAGTTCCATAGTTCAATTGTGCTGCATGATGTTGCTATATTTCCCCCCACACCCCAACTGTCATGTTGTGGCTTCCACAGGTTCATGCCAAGCAGATATTTAGGAGTGATGTGCCTCTGTTGCTACATCTGCCAGAACAAGCAGCACCTATTTTTCCTGGTTGGTTGGTTGGTTAGTAGACTATGGGGCCTCCAAACTGGTGGGGCTTGTATATGGATATATTATCGGACTACAGCCTTTCTTCACATAGACACCTGGATTGTCTCATCCTTTGCTAGGAGGAGGGGAAGGTCTGGCATGTTCTGCGGTGGTTTCCTATCCAGGACATTCCCAAAATTATCCTGTATCCAAAAGCAACTTGCTATTTAGTTCCCATGGCAACATATCACCTGCGTTAGCCTAGCAAAGGGATGTGTCAAGCCAGACATAGCCAGTCACCCTATTCTCAGATCAGAGGAGCAATGGCTGTAATTTGCCACTGTGGGGAATGGGTTGGGGACTATGCACCCCATTTCTCTGTGCTTTGCTTTCCCTGAAAACTTCATTCCCCAAAGTTCTTTAAAATCTGTCAGTTTGGGTATGAAGGCTTCATGGAGGCAAAACTGTTCTAATAAACCTGCCTGATCCTCTTTCATGCTCCTAGCGGAGCCATAAAAGTCTTGTAAAAATAAGCCTCTGTTGTTGAATTGGAAAAGTGACATTTAGGCGAGGGGATGACTTGTAAATCCAGCTTCATGTGGCCTTAAAGGACTCAGTCTGCCTTTAAAACCCCAGGTTCGTTTCCTGCCTCCTGCTGAGAAACAAGCTTGCTCGTTTTCAATTGCTTCCCTTATTTGTAGGGCAGGCACTGATATTAACCCATGAAATCCTACAGAAAGGTAAGAGTTATTGAGATGCTGCTAGTACCTCTTGCCAGTAATGCACAATAATGTGCCACACATGCTGAAAGAACTCCATCCCATTGAGTGCAACAGGTGCACAAAGCTTCTGACCAAAGGTAGCCAGAAAGTTGTTGGTCTGCAACAACTCCCAAAAACCTTGACCACTGGCCCCGGTGGCAGTGGCTGTTGGGAGGTGGAATCTCCTAAACATCTGGAGGGCACTCTTGTATTAGGGTGTGGCAGTGATCTGTACTGTTGTTGGCAAGAGGTGTTATTGGATAGCAATGTTAGATAATTCCAACAAAAACAGAAATGGGAGTGGAAATTGCTGATGTTTGATTATTCATCCCATGTCCAGAATGGAAATCAGTTCAGGGAATATGTTGTTGCTGCTTGCAGTTTGCAAGTGATATGCAAATGATAATCCCCTCCTTTTGCAGTGAAATGAATGGTGTGGAATACTGTAATGACAATGTAATTTACAGAATTGAATGTGTATTTCTCTAAGTTACATAATTTCATCACAGCAGACACTGAGACAAATAAGGTAGTTTTTGGCAGAAGATGAACTGAGGCAGAATGGAAACAGTGGTGCATGCAACAAATCTAGGGCACAATGGGAAATGATACCTTCTTACATCCCTATTCTTCTACAAAAAGGATTAAACCAGGGGTGGGGGAACCTGTGGCTTTCCACATGTTGCTGGACTCCAGTTCCCATCAGTCCCAAGCCAGTATAGCCAATGGCTAGGGATGATCGGAGTCAACAACTAGAGGTTGCCACATTGGCAAGTCCTGCGTTTTTACTATCTCATCGTGTAGCTTGGCACCCAGCTCTAATTTGAAGAAAATGTGCACCATTCAGTTCATTTAAACTCTTGAATTTTGCATGATTCCTCTACTTTAGAAAGCAAAACTCTTAATGGTTGTGGGACTATTTTTAAAGTGAATATCTTGGAATTGGAATGTATTTCATCATTCAAAGCAGACACAGTAGTACTTCTACTTGTTACTTGTTTCACCTTTCCTTTGAGGAAACCAATAAAAATTGCCACCAGATCTAATGACAGCAATGTCAAACACTCTTGGGACAATCTCCACAATATGCTTCCAGAACTTTAAAATCACCAGGTGCAACCACCATCCTGAGCACTAAGAGCAAACTCACGTCAGCTCCAGACTGTCAGTATTTTGCAGGAGGGATTCAAAGCATATTCTGGGATTTAGGTCTGTGCAACTAAAGTGGATTTAAGTGCTCTGACACCCTGGTGCAACAAAGCCACTTAAAAAACAAACAAACTTGACTTTTGTGGTTAGGAAAGTGAGTAAATCCAGTCGTGGAGAGAGGGCTTTTTTTGATGGTGGCTTCCCAGCTATGGAATGCTCTCCTTGGGGAGGCCTGAGTGCCACATTGTTGTATTACTGGAATCAGGCTAAGATTATTATTCTCTCAGGCTCTTCCAGATCTTTTTATTTTTGTTTCTTTGGTATGGCTGGTGAGTTTAACCCCTCATATTTGGTGGTTGTTTTTAGATCCTGCAATTGGCTTTGTATTTTATTCTGTCTTGTATTTGCGTTTTATGCTGAGTTGGATTTTTAAGATTCATTGTGGACCTTTTATTGCAATATTGTTATTTCTTGGTAGTTTGAGAAGTGGTTTTAGATGGGGTCTAACAAATACAGTGGTACCTCAGGTTAAGTACTTAATTCGTTCCGGAGGTCCTTACTTAACCTGAAACTCTTCTTAACCTGAAGCACCACTTTAGCTAATGGGGCCTCCTGCTGCTGCCACGCTGCTGGAGCCCAATTTCTGTTCTTATCCTGAAGCAAAGTTCTTAACCTGAAGCACTATTTCTAGGCTAGCGGAGTGTGTAACCTGAAGCATATGTAACCTGAGGTACCACTGTAACTAATAAAAACAAATAAATAACACTTGATAGAATAAATAATACATATAATAATTGATCGTCAACCATTCCATACTGCAGCAGCTTGAGAATTTAGCCATGGGACTTTTAAACCCAACCTAGGATTGTGAGAATAGTCCAGCATCATTGACATATGGCAGGGATGTCCAACCAGTAGATCGCGATCTACCGGTAGATCCCCAGCTGATCCTGGTAGATCACAGGATCCTTATTGTGTGCAAAAAGTTATGGGGGGGGGAATAAAAAACTCTGTGCAATCCACCCACCCCACACACGCTCCTCCTCCCTCCAATGACAATGGGTAGATCACTGCCAGATTTTTTTATACTGGGAGTAGATCACAGTCTCTTGGGAGTTGGACATGCCTGACATATGGTAACAAAGGGATTTCTGTGCCAGTCGATCTGGGCAAGAAAGCTGACTTGGGAACTATAAAGATAGCTTGCTTTTTTGATGTTTGAAATATTTTTCAGCCAAGTGGAAAAGCACTAATGCATGGTCCACAGCAGAACTCTCCTGCTTTCCATTTAGTGTGGCTAAAATGTTAGGATTTGAACTCAGGTCTTCTGCGGCCACATCCAGTGTTTCCGACACTGTTATCACCCCACTTTTAATCCTTTAGGCTCACGTGTTCCCTTCTCAGCAGTTCTTATTAGGGCACTTAAGGAGTGTGTATGTTGTAGATTCCGGTGCTTATTTTTACTGGCCTCCAGCTTATTTTTACAGTAAAGCCAGCATTTAATGTTGGGTTGGGTTGGGGGTGGGGTAGAAGGCAACGCTCTATGATATAGAAGTGTCCTGGGGCAAGCTACACGGGATAAAGTAAACTCAGCTCCCTGGTTGCATTCCTGAAAGATCAACTTGCATGTGAAAAGTTGTTATTCTGTTTTATTATTCTCAACAAACATTCAACAAGAAGGGATTTTAAAGGGATGTGTTAATCGAGCCCCAGCTATTGGAAGGCCTTGTTATGTATGCATCAGGTGTCTGGGGCTTCCATTAAACGCACAGAATACACACAGGCACTCATCCATAGCTGTAGCATGCAGACCAGTCCGGATGGTAGTTTGAGCACAGAAGCACCATTTACCTTCCTGCCACAGCGGTACCTATTTATCTACTTGCACTGGTGTGCTTTTAAACTGCTAGGTTGGCAGGATCTGGGACAGAGCAACGGAAGCTCATCCTGTCACATGGATTTGAACCGGTGACCTTCTGATTGGCAAGCCCAAGAGGCTCAGTGGCTTAGACCACAGTGCCACCCGCATCCCTTTTTACCTAGTTTGTAAAGGCTGCTGTTAGTTGTTAGGTGTTCTTTTGGAAAGGGGATTGAATGATAATTAACTGTGGGAATTGTAGCTCTGTGAGGGGAATAGGCGCCTCCTAACAATTCTCAGGACCTTTACCAAATGGAGTTTACTCCTCACAGAGCCACAATTCCCACAGATCCTCCAAGTGTCTCTATTTTCTAGGGATGTCTCTGATTTAGAGAAGCTGGCCCAGTTTCTGATTTGATCCCGGAATGTCCCGCTTTTCCTTAGGAAGTCCCTATTTTCATTGGAGAAATGTTGGAGGGTATGGTAGGATGTCCCTGTTTTCACTGGAGAGTATGGAGTTATCTGACCTCGAGCTGTCTGAAGGCAATCATGTATAGGGAAGTGGTTTTTTATGTTTAATGTTTTATTATGTTTTTATATATGTTGGAAGCTGCCCAGAGAGGCTGGGGCAACTCAGTAAGGTGTGTGGGGTATAAATAGTAAAATTATGATTATGGAATGGGACTTCCCTATTTTCATCGGAGAAATGTTGGAGACTATGTTCCCAGCACCCTTAAAAAGCTGCAGTTCCCAGGATTTATTTGGGAATCCGTGTACTTCAAATGTATGGTGTATATGCAGCCACAATCTGCTTAGCTCAGATATGGGTTCTTGCCTCAGTGAGAACTCTAAAACAACAAGGGGATACAGGAAAAGAGATCTAACTCCTGTCTTTCAGATTATCCAAGATTGCTCCATAAGAGTTGTCTCTGACTCTTTTTTGAGATTTCTACCCACATAGTTCTGCCCTTTAGAAGGATGAGATGTTATCACAAGACTGGCCTGCTGGCCTCCCCATCTCTTCTCCTCCCTGACCAGGGGACATTACTCTTTTTAAGCTGGAACCCAGAAGACAACCCTTTGCATCTCCCAGCCATCTTCCTATTCCCAGCAATTAAAAACTCACAAGAGCTTCCCTTACAGATGAAGAACTCTGCTGTTTTCCTTTTTAATAGCACTGCCCCACATATCTTATCCCTAAGGGGGAAAAGCTGAGTTTTAACTACATCCTGAAAGAGACATTCTTCCTCCTCACGGGGAGACGCCACGTGATGCATCGGGAGGCATTTTATAACTTCATCACGCAGCATGAGGAATTCCAGCCTTGGTTTTCACAACTGTCTCATGTGCTCCACACCCATTGCCTCCGGTGCATTTGGCTGGCTGGCTCCTTTCTAGTCATTTTCCCTCATAGACCACGGGAGGCAAAACGCACTGCCATATCAACATGGCCTTATTGCGGGCAGAACTGGGCCCATTTTATGCAACTGCCTCTCCTCACCATGATACATTTCTTAGCATTTGCTCAGGTGAGTGAGGAGCCTCATGACTAGAGCCATCACACCTGGGACTGGCCTGTCATGACAAATACCTGACAAGTCTAATTTGTGGACATATTTGCCTAAGGAAGAGCCTCGCATAACACTAAAGCTTATGAATTTAAACAACTAGAGTAGGGCCTCGGACAAAAGTAAAAATAAAATCAGGATTCTAGAGCAGGCAGTCAGCAATGGCAGGCTCCTTAGAGCCAGTACTGCAGAGCTGAGGGGAAATTGCTGACCTTGAGGTAAAAAAAATGCAAACAAAGGTGATATCTTTGTCAACAGAACTTGTTGGTGGACAGCTTTCAATACTGCAGTTGATTTACTGGTATTTTACCTCAAAGCAGCCCTCCAGGACAACTAGGTGCGTTTCAGAGTTCCTGAGGCAAACCTGCACGTTCATTTCTCCAGCTCCTAGTTCAGCAATTTAACAGTGGACATTTCAGAGAAGTTGCCTTACTTTACATCTATTGGTGCTACATAATACACTTTCTGCACGGCATTGCCTCAGGCCCCACAAGCCCTGAACGCTGGAGGGCCTCACAGTCTACTACAGGGATGGGCCCCCTAGACATTGCTGAACTGTAGCTCCCATCATCCCATGCTGGCTGGGTCTGATGGGAGCTGGGAATGTCTGAAACCCTGAAGAGCCACTGCCAGTCAGTGTAGACAATACTGACCTAGATAGCCCAATGTTCTCCCTCAGTATAAGGCACCTTCCTTCCTGTGTTCCTGTAGGATCTTTCTGCCCATGTTGGTACATGTCTGGTTTCTCATGATGAACGTGAGAGAAAGAGGCCAAACTTTTTTTCCAAAATCCTTTTGAGCTCCCAGTATACCTTGCTGCCTGGATGCACCCGCAGTACAGAGCCTTTGGAGATGTGAGAGAATTAAGTATGTTTCGGACATGGGGATCTTTTTCTGCCTTGGAGTTTATCCCCCGTTGAAATGGACAGATGTGTCTACTTCCTGCTCTAAAGATTTAGGAGCTTAGGGGACACTCTTTTGCTTTTTGTTCTTCCATAGCAATCAGACAGTCACCAGGAAGCGATGGAGCCACGGATCTCTCTCCCAGCTGTTTGTCTGCTGCCTAATAGCTACTCTGCTTTTGCAACTGGGCATATCACCATTTTTATGATGTCTTTAAAAGCCAGATATTCTGACTTAATTGGCAAAAGTGGCCTGTTAACAGGCACAGGGGCCGCTGCCCAAATGTCATGTTCTTACTGGATGCTCACTGGCAGCCTTCCCCACATCCCTAGTAGCTCTGTGGTTGCATTAATTTGGGTTGGGCTCAATTATAAGAGAATGGAATGCATTATTTTCTTTGGTTTGGAAGACCAGTGGGCTTAAAAGAAAAGGGATTACATTAAATGTACACAAGGCCCCGATTCTACCACCCCAGATGCTCATGAAAGGGGTTCTTTTCCACCCACATAAAGGTAGATCAGCCTTCAGCTAAAGAAGTTAAGAGCCCTTCAAACAGAGACCTGGAGCAAAAGCAGAACTCTACATTAGACCAGAGACTATATGGTGCGATTGGCGCCATTTCCCTGGGGTGTGAAAGCTGCATGCTTAAGGATGTGCATCTCTCCTCCACACTGTGAGGGATCTCAGTGCTGGATGACCTGGGAAAAGCCTCAGAGGGGAATCGAAGAAGTCGCAGAAATCTTCTGCCTACAGGTATGTGCACTTGCTAACGCCCTCACTCAGGTTTTGTGTTTACAACAGGGGGTGGGGGAACCGCAGATTTGGGGACTAAATGGTGCCCTCAAAACCTCTCTATCAGGCTCTTGAGATTCTCCCCACACCACTTCCTAAGCCACACTGGCCCTGCTTCGCACCCTCCTTGAGTGCTTTTGCCTGTATAGAATGCACCCTTGAACTCTGACAATGCCTTTTGCTTGCCTGGATGGAAGATATTAAGGCCTGAGTCAGGGTGTGAAGAAACTAGAGTGCTGTACAAAGGTAAACTCTGACCACTTTTGCCACTTGGCCCTTGACTACCGCTGGCATGTCGCTCCGGGAAGGTTGTCCAGAAGGGAGTGTGGCCCTTGGACTGGAAAATGTCCATCCCTGCTTTCCCCACAATGGTTGACAAGGAGAAACACTGGTAAGACCCTACTGCTGTGTGATGCATTAGGCAGTTCCTATTTTCCTTCTTACAACCCCCTGCTCAAATCCCACTTTTTACACATGGCTTCTGGCTATCCTCTTACAGCGTCAGTACACTGTTACTTCAGGACTGGATTACTGCAATACCCTCTATGTGGGACTTCCCACGTGCTTGACCTGGAAGCTACTGTTAGTGCAGAACCCTGCAGCTCAGTTGCTGGCAGGAAACCCTTTCAGCATAACACCTTCACTGGTTGCCAGTTTGCTGCCGGGCCAAGTTCAAGGTGTTGCTATTAGCAGTGCTTTTCTTCTAAAAGGGAAAAAAGGAGCCGGTACTCCCCATGTTGTAAGGCTAAAATGGAGAGGAGGAAGAACCATGTACGCCACCTTGAGCTTCTTGAAGGAAAGGTGGAAAGCAATATTAAAATAAATACGTAAAATAAAAGTAAGCTGTGAAACTTACCAAAGGCCAAAAAATTAACAAGTGTCTAAATTTGAAGCCCTCTTTGTCCCCAGGCCAAATAGTTTCCTTGCCCCTGATTGGCATTGCTGATCTAAAGACCCATCTTGACCCTGGCAGGGTGGCCACATGTCATATTTGAAGGGCTGGCAAAAGACAGTCCTTACCTTTTGAAGGAGTCCTCTGTTTGAAGGGCTGTCCAGTTGAATTTCAGTTTACAGATAAAAGGTAAATCAGCAGGGGCCTTTGAATAGTTATCCATCCATAGTTAGTAGCACCGGGACAGCATTCCAGTGAGATATATGGTATGTCTAATTAAATTATAGTTATTATTTCTAAATTTGCATATATGCATATGCATTAGCATTGCATCTGTGTCTTCCTTTGTCTTCTTTTTGGGTGATGCGTAAGCAACCACCTTAGACCCTGTTGGTGCCCCAAAATATTGATCATATTATTTGTTTTCTGCAAGGAAACCCCATTGATGGCTCCTGAGATGCTTTAGTTGAGCCAACGACAAACGTTGATGTGTGGACATAGGATCATACTAATGCAGAACATTGGTTCATTGAGCTCAGTATTTTCTACACTGACTGGCAGGGGGTTTCCAGAGTTTCAGGCAGGAGTCTTTACCGAGCCTTACCTGGAAATGTCCGGGATCGAACCTGGGACCTTCTGCATGCAAAGCAGATACTCTACCATGAAGCATCTATACAGCTATATTTTTCTCTCTTCCCTCTACACCCACTTTGGTCAACTTTTGTAACATCTAGCAAATGCCCCTTCTGTACCACTGGAGAACAAGCGGCTCCTTTCTTGTGCGTCAGCCTCTGGCTTCTTGATGGTTGAGAAACGGAAAAATAAATGTGATTAAGGAGAGCGTAAAAGAAAAAGAAAAACAATGACTCAGGCTGCCATTTATCCTGCTGTTTAGCCTTGCGGAGCTCAGAGGTTGCCAAAACCATTTTAGCACCCTGAACAGCATGCTCACCACCAACCCAGGATCTCTCAGACCCCCCAGCACTGCATGTCCAGCCTCCCTAATCTTTTTGGACATGGAGCACATTTTGGAAATCTGAAACGGTTGTGAGCACCACAAAAAATAACCCAAACTGGTGATGCTCTGACACCCCCTCCCAGGCAAAACACTCTCCCCCCAAAAACAAATAAGACACAGACAAAAACAGGTTACCCTCCCTCAAAACCAATACCCCAAAAACACTCATTGAAAAAGGGGGGCTGAGGTGGCATCCATGGGCATCATGTTGGGGACCTCTGCTCTATATCATCATCAGATGATGCATTAAGTGGTCTGCTCCAGGTCTGACTCAGCCTCAGGGAGCTTTATGTGTTAATATTTTGTTAAATAACTTTAAATACCGACTATACTAATTGTGACGTTCCCCACCAGCACATCCGTAGCCCCCTCAACACAAAGTTTCCGGCCATGGGCCTGAAACTGCCTGATATTACTTAATGAGAAAAAGGCTCTTTGTTCCAAAACGCGCCATCCTTCTGGACCAGAAGAAGGAAGTCCAACCAGGCTCCACAGATTGCTCAGAAAACCTCCTGGCCGGCTGCTGACGTCACTTGGCAAGGAAGGAAGAAGCTTCCAAGGAGTTTGGCAATTTTATTAAAGTCAACGGAGGCTGAGCGGAATGCAGATTTGGCCATCTGCTTTTAATCTGAGTATCTGCATCAATGAGGCTCCCAGTCCCTTCTATGGTAGGCAGAGGACCTGCTGCTTATGGAATCCCTTAAAGGGGCCCTTGCAAGACCCCTGGCCTCCCATCCACATGGGCTTTACTAATCGGGTGCAGTGGATCAGTGCACAATACCCTACCAGACCTAAGTGCTGATGGTGGAATCTGCAAGAAGGGTCTTCCTGCACTGAGTTCTGGGGTTCTTTGTGTGGTGGCGAGTACCATTGTGTCCTCCTCCTCCTCCCAAGGCAAGTAAAATGTTCCTTGCCTTGCATCTGTACTGGAACTGGCCCAGGGTGGCATATTTGAAGACATTTTTTGTCTTCAGTTGAAGAACTTTTTGTTTGTTTAAGAAGGCTTTCCCTGAAGACTGACCCAGTTGTTTTATGGAATAATACTTGCACAGCCGTAGAAATGGTTCTCTTGTCCTTAGTTGATTGAGTTTGTAATGTTTTTGTATTCTATATTTTATTTTATTGTTTATTGTTATAGTTTGGTTGTGGTTTATAAGTTTGCAGATAAATACAATACAGTAAACTAAAATATTGGGCTTCCCGGGCATGTTGCTGATGTGATGGGAAATGGTTTTGTGGTATATCGGTATATCCCCCAGTAGCACCACCCATGTATTGTTTTCTTACCATGAGTTGCTGGGAGGGGGGTGGCTGGTAGTTTTTGCCTTTGAAGGCGCAGCCCTGATCCTTCATCCACACTGGTCAGTCACGCAAGGGCTCTTTCTATTGTGCATTCATGATGATGCCTGGGCAATTACACACAATCTCATTTTCCATATTGTTTGAGCCTGCAAAAGTTTTGTGGTGGACATACTGCTTTGTTACCAGTTGATGCACATCCCATAACTTCCTGCTGAAATACAGTATTGTAGCTTTTTATACCACAAATGTTCTGGGGTGTTTGTTCTGCTTTTGTTGCAACATAGTGCAAGACTGCACCTCCAGATGACGACAACAACATGATAACATTGGGGACACTGCAGAACAACTGCCATTTTCTCAGAGTGGTTTAATCATCCATCCCTCTTCCCAGCAAACTCTTACCACCTGTAACAAACTACAGTTCCCAGTATTCTTTGGGGGAAGCCATGACTGTTTAAAGTGGTATGATACTGCTGTATATATATATATATATATATATAGTGCAGATGGGGCCTTAGAAAAGGAGTCGAACTGATAACTGACATATGAATGAAGATGCATTTGGTGTGACTTGTGATCACCTACTGGGCAATACCTATGATGATTAACACATTCTCCAATCTCCTGCTAGCTGCAGTTTTGGAACATTATTCTTTTGGATTGGCGCTTATTTACATATGCGCCCATGCAATCATTTTAAGAGGAAAAAAGTTTAAGGAAGTGATAAACCCCAAAAGGATTTGGTGGAGTAATAAGTGGCTCGGGGGGGGGGGGGGACTGATTAGTAAGAGTCAGGGTGTTCTTTTGCTGCCGCCACCCCCAACTGCACCCTTGCTTGAAGTTTCACCCGTCCTGTCACCATGACACAGCGGCAAAGGTGCAGCATTAGCAGTGAGGGCAAGGGCACTGTGGCAGCAGCGATGGTGGTACAGTTGAAGCTGCGGTGGGGCTGGCAGTGGCACAACTAGACTGGCAGTGGTGGGGATGGGGGCAGATTTGCTACCTGAGGCAAATTGCAATCACTGGCCTTGATAAGAGATCCTGTTTCAGAATTAACAGATAATGTAAAAGAGTTGGATAATAAGGCTAGGAACATGAGTTATTATACGGCATTCCTAAAGGATCAGAGGGGAAAGTTAGCTGTGTTTGTTAATACCTGTATTGGATCAGTATTCTGAATTCATTTTGACCTAGGTGCATCCTGAAGAAAAGGTTGCATGGTATTCCTATAAAACTTTATGCAAATAGCCTTAACAATTATTCCTGTAGGCAGTATGGCAGAAGCTGGAAATTGTGATAAATCAAGCCTACGTTTCCTGGCATACCGTTTGCCTGAAGCATTATGCAAATGGAGATACGTAACTGCTGTTTATGGCAGTGAAATATTAACTATTCTTGGAGTTTTCTTTACCTATGTGCTTTTTTATGAACACCAGACAATATATATTGGTGTGACTTATGTACATGTTTATCTATTTAAAGGAACAATTTAAAGTCTCTGGAGTCTAATGCAGCTGGAAAAAGTATTGTATTTATACTCTACTCTTACACAGGGCTTTTACCCATCTCTCTTCCAGAGACAGATGAGCACCACACCTTAACTCGAGCAGTACTGTTGTATCTGCTGCTTTCAGCTCATTCGCAGGGCCTAGATTCCAATGCACTTAGGGCCCCTCCAGACGGGTGCTTTTTTGCAGCTGTATTCTGCAACATGTCATTGATGCAATAAAAGTGCATTAGTGGTGGGTTAAAACTGGACAGTCTGCACATCATTCCACTTCATTAGTTTTTAAGTGATGCTTCCCAAATGTTACTGCATTATTGCTGTCTAGAATGGCATTCTTCTTTATTATTTATTAAATTTGTATACTGCCCTTCATCTGAAGATCACAGGGTGGTTCACTCTGGTGCTAAAGTATAGTGCAGCAAAAGCAGAATAGAAATTAAAGCAGAACATTGATGGTATAAAAAGTTACAGGGTTTCAGCAGGAAGCAACAGGACAATCGGAAGCAGAGCAGTCTGTCCACTCCAAACCTTTTGCAGGTGCAAACAGTATTGAAAGAGGAATTGTGTGCTCACTTTGGTGGCACATACACTAAAAAATATTGAACAATACAGAGAAGATATATGGTCCCTGCACAAGAATGATACGCAATTTTATGAAGCGTTCCATAAAAAATAAAAGAAAGAGGAATCGCATATAACTGCTCCAATATCAACATGAGTACAAATCATCGTAAAAGCAAATAAATGTCTGGAGGGGCCCTTGATTCATCTGTTGCAGACTGTGCCATCATGCATGTGTTCAAAATTTAAGAAGAAAATTGGAGTGAGGAAAACAAAGTTGTAACGGTAATTTAAAAATCCTTGACAATGGAAGGAGGGTGGAACAATGACTGTGATAAAAGGAGCTGAGAAATGTTTTGTCCAGATGACTTCTTGTGAGTGCTAAGGAACATTGTGGTAAGGAAAGTTCTCATTTCACAGGGAATAAACGTTAAGTGTTAAAAACTCAGGACCACCACTGGAATATGACATGGTGTTATCTGCAAATGGCACTGGCTGTTAGCATTATCTATGAGAGAACTCTGTGTACATATCATAATTCTATTTTTGTCTTCTCACACTTCTCTCCCTTTGAGCATCACATGCTGGTGCAACATAAACTCATGAGCAGGCCTATAGCCAGTGCTCGGAATGAATTAGTTTGGTTTAAAGAAGCTTACTGAATTTGTTCAAAAATCTCTAAACTACTGCTCAAATAGGTTTCAAAAGAGCAAGACTCGAGACTAGACCCAGGTGGCCTAATTTGTTTCTGGAGTGATTAGATGAAGTTGGCTATTTATTTAATTATTTGTTTGTGGGGAGGTTAGATGAGTTGCATCAAATCGACTGCCATCTCACACTATCCAGAGCATTTCCCTATCCTTTCCGGGAAGTGAGTTGGTTTTGCTACAGCTCCAAAGCAGCTTTAATTGTGATGTTTGGATTTACTGGAATGTGATTCCCCCACACTCCACTCCCCTGCAAAATACTGACAGTCTGGAAGCACCCCTTTCAGGCAGCAACAAACTGAAAATCAGCTATTTGGCTCGGTCCTCATCCCTGCAGCCCTAGCCCTCAGACCCATGTGGCAATGCCTCTGCTTGCATGACAGATCCAGCTTGCAGAAACAGGTTGCGCAAAAGGGAGAAGAGCAGGATCCCAGCGGACAAGCGTATTGCGAAGCCAAGCTCACTCTCCCCGGCTCACGTGCTCAGAAAAGCAGCGTTGGCTCAACTGGAGCATGGAACGGGTCCCACCCCTCCTCCCCCTTTCCTTTCAATTTCCTAAACAATTTCCTAATCAGACCTTTCTGTCTGGAGTTTATTAGCAATTCACAGAGCGAGAGGAAATGGTGGATTTTTTTCTTTTCTTTTCTTTTTGGACCCTGCGTTAATGGAAGGGAAGGAGCTGGCATCAAAGTTCTTCTTTTGTAGCGGAGCAGCAGATAAAACCACAGAGGAAGCCTCTAAGGGACACCAGGCCTTCCTCCTGGCAGGCTGCACTGGCTGGAGTCAAGATAGCTGCTCAACTCTCTACCCCGCCACATTTCCTTTTTGAGGGTTGGGGAGAGAAGGGAGAAGAGTGGGAGTTAAGAAAGCAGAGACCGCAGTGAGGGCATTGTCTCCCTGGAAAACGTCGCATATTTTTAACCTCCCCCACCCCACTCGTTTACGACAATGGAGAGTTAGCAAAGCGTAGGGCTCTGTGTAGAGATGGATGGATCTGTCAATTTCACACCCCCCCCCAATTTTTCTTGTGTCCAACCTTAAGTTTAGTTTACCCCATTTCGACATCCATTTGCAAATTCATATTTTTATTAAAAAAACGGCCCAGAATTCTACAGGATTCTCCTAACTTATGCATTATTGTATGCTGTTTGGCCTAATATATGCATTTATAAAAGCAAACATAATGCAGTTTTGTACTTTATTTCCCACTAATATGTGCATCTCCATGCACACTTGGTTGGTTGGAGAACTGCATTGCAAGATTCAGAGAAGTTTATTGTTTCAGGAAGTGTGAATGAAAGTGCAAACTGACTGGATTCCTCCCCCTCCCCTAGCTCTGTGAATTCAGCATTGCTGTGCAATAGAGAATGAGTGCAGAATTTGGAATTGGCCATTCAGAATTTGAATTCCTGATAATATTAATTATTTTTTTGGGGGGGGAAGCAAGTTTCTAGCCCTTATGATTAGACAATGTAAATAAGCAATGCCTGATAAGATTTAAGTAGGCAGATGTATTGCAGAACATACTATTCTCTCTCTCTCTCTCTCTCTCTGTCTGTCTGTGTGTGTGTGTGTTGGGGTGGGTGGGAATCAGAGCCTAAATATCCGTGGGCCCCTCCCTCCTTATGACTGCCAGATGCAGATTCATTTGGGCAAAATTGGGGGGTGGGGAATGCAGAATAAATTATGGAAAATACGAGAGAGTATGCAAATTTTCTTAATTTTATAATGTGGCACAGGTTTCAGAACCTCAGCTTTTTCTTGGCACAGATAGAGTATCTTGATTATTATTTTTATCCCTGGAGGGGAATTTGGAGAGAGTGGCTAAGGTATGTAATAAATGGAGGGGGGTCTATTGATGTTTATAGTGGGAGTGGATTAGAGATCACTTTGCATATGGTTGGGGAGCAAGTGGCTGGTTTACATCTGCAGATGCTTCTGGGCAGGGGCGGGACTTTGGTCTTTCAAATTTCAGTGGCACCCTGTGCGAGCCCAAAATCCGATGCAGCCCTCCCCCATGCCTCTTGCCTTCCCTTCTGCTCAATTCACTACATCATAATTGTGATGCCCTGCAGCACCCCCTAGGCTCAGCACCCAGTGTGGCAGAACCAGTCACACTGCCCTAAATCCACCTCTTTTGGGAAATTAAGTAGGTGGGTCACTGGGATCTCAGTGTACCCAGCTTCTCTATAAACAAAACAAAATAAAAAGGCAGGGAGATCTAGGGTGAAATACCAGAGGCTTAGGCTCTCTGGACCACCCCCCATCTAATAAAACACCCTTGCCAGGAACTGCCTTTGGGACTCTGGCTGCATACTTATTTAAAGCAGAGTTAAAGCACTCCCCCCCCCAATACCTCAAGAATCCCAGGGGCTGCACTTCGTTAAGTGTGCTGGGAATGGTAGCTTTAGGATAAACTACCCAGGATTCCTTTGTAGGATGCGTGTTTTAAATGTATGGGGTGTACATCCCCTTTGGGGATGTTTCTTAATGTAGTCATTTCTAGGCTTCTCACTGAACCAAAGGAATTTTGTCTGTGTGTGGAACCCAACTCTCTGGTACTTCCAGCAGTGGGCCCTGAATCCGCCATCTTGTCACAACTTTCTCTGACACTTGTTTCCAGTATCCATATAATTGTTGGCAATGGCTGGTAACTTTATGGACTAGAACAGTGGTTTATAATTATAATTATTTATTAAATTTGTATATCGCCCTTCATCCATAGATCTCAGGGTGGTTCACAACATAAAAATAATAAAATACATAATACAAACAAGAACAAGAACAAACCAATAACCCGCCTGCCCCTCCCACAATTCATTTAAAAGGGCATTGGATCTTAATCATCCCAGGGCCTGGTTGAAGAAGAACATTTTCACCTGGTGATTGGTTTGTTTGTTTGTTTGTTTATTATTCAACAAAAAGGAGGCTTACGTAAGCGGTTGAACATTCTGCCAATTTTGGATATGGCAGAAGATCTGATTAGTGCCTTTATCCCTCACAAGTTTGTTTCTTTGCTTTGAGCCTAAAAGAATGACAAATTTAATATACCTGAGGAAAAAGCTAGTAGGCAAAGAAGAATGGCAAGATAGTGGTGGTTGCTGTTCATTTCTGATGCCATTGACTTAAAAAAACAACCCGGTAGTTAAGAAACAGTGGACTGCAATTAGTTTGTACATTGCATTGTATGAACAAGGCCGGGACAGGCAGTAAGTGAGTGGCCCAGCACGTGCTTTGCATGTAAAAGGTCCCAGGGCTAGGAGAGATCTGTGTCTGAAACCCTAGAGAGCTGCTCAGTCAGTGCAGTAGACAATACTGAGCTAGAAGAACCAATGTCCTGATGTGGCAGAAGGCATCTCCCAACACAAGCAGCTTTCTTGTGAACAGGGGACACTCTAGAGACCCTTTGGCAGCCAGCGCAGGCAACACTGAGATGAATGGACCAAACTCCTGACTTCCTTCACTTCTTTGCTTCTGTGGGTGAGACGCCTTCTTCTTTGGAGTCAGAGCATTTTCTAAGTGTGACTGCAGACTTCTGCTTTATGTATCAGGATTTCTATAGGTTGTGTGAGTGTTCAGATTTGAGAAAGTGCAAGTAAGAGGAGACATGATGTGGAGGTATGTGAGCATATGCATGGCATGAAGAAATTGCACAGATAAAAAGGTTTCCTCCCTCTGTCTTAACCCTAGAACCTGTAGACATTCAATTGAAGCTGAATGTTGGAAGATTCAGGACAAATATAACAAAGTACTTATTCATGCAGCATGAACTACGGAATTCAGTCTCGCGGGAGGGAGGCAACCATGGCCACCAACCTGGACAAATTCATGGAGAGTAAGGTTATCAATGGCTTCTAACTATGATGGCTATGCTCTGACTCTGTGGTCGAGACAGTATGTTTATAAATACCAGTTACTGGTAACCACAGAAAGGGAGAGTGCTCTTGTGCTTAGGCCCTGCTTGCAGGTTTCACACAGACCTATGGTTGACCACTGTGGGAGCAGGATGCTAGACTATCCAGGAGACTCTTTATGTTCTTACATGTGAAGCCAACAATGTCCATAGCCTATTTAGCACATAGGCAGGGGGAACCTATGGCCCTCTGGATGTTGCTGTTGGACTTCCAACTCCCATTAGACCAACCAGCTTGCACAATGGTCAGCGATACAGGGTCTTGTAGTTCAGCAACACTTGGAGGATCACAGGTTTCCAACCCCTGGTTCAGTGTATTGCCCACAAAAAACATGGGTAACAAACAATACAATTCTCCATCTGGTATCACCAATAGGTCTTTCTGAGCCACCATTTGGATGGATGGTGATTACCGTACATTTCCTAGCAGCCTAAATTGTGCTTTGTAAATAGGACAGGCTTCTTACCCTAACAGCAAGCAGCTCCTGACTGATTTGCTCAAAGCTGAATCCAAGATGGCCCCCAGTCCACTTACAGGTTTTTTTGAGAGAGCAGCTGCCTCTCGCTGTCAGTCTCTGGCCTGTTCAGCAGTGTGCCTCCCCCCCCCCCCCCCGTTCACATGGGAGATTTCCTCTCCTTCCATGGGAGTCATTTCCCTGCTTTTTTTTACTGGTGCATTAATGGACCCCTTTGGAGCTACCACCAAATCCTGGCGTATTTACCAAATGTGTTTACAATTAAACAAAAAACGCCAAACCGTCTGTAACCGTAACAAGCAGGCCCAAGTCAGCAGCAGGGCAACGAAGGGCTGGAGGTCAACGCATTGTTTACTTTAATTTCTATGAAAGCTTTTTGGGAGATTTCTCCAACTCCCCTCTTGCTTTATTAAATTCAGATGAGGCATTTGGGGAGGGTTAGGTTACAGATGGTCCGAGGAAGTTTTTAAAAAGAAAACTGAAGCTTTAACCCATTGGTGAGGAGGATGAGTTTGTCTGGATGTTTCTACACTACAATTTGGAGAGCTGGTTTGCAAATTGCTTCAGTCGCCATTGTGTCACACTGCTTAACCTCCAAGCCCCACCTGCGGGGACTGTGATCCACAGGGTCCCATCAAATGCCACAGCTCCCAAACCCTTCTGAGCTGGAATCTGAGGAGGAACGAGACTGTTGGAGGAAGAGGAGGATAGATTATTCCTCTGGACTTTGGTCTTGTGGCACACATTTCTCATATGAGAGCTTCAATGCTGCTCCCTAAGCTTACCTGTTACTTAAAACAGGTGTGGGAAAACTTTTTCAGTCTGAGTGATGCATTCCCTTCTGAACAACCTTTCAAGGGCCACAAACCAGAGGGTGGGGCCAGGGACAAAAGGTAGGCAGAGCAACGAATGCAGATTTTACCGTTGTAAAGCACCATTGTATCTATGCTCACTCACCTTCAAGAAGCATTGTCTGAGTTCAAGGACACTTTCCAGAAAGAAAGAAAAAATACTCAAAAAGGGTGTGAAAAGGGGCCAATAAGGGGTATGGCCCCTGGAAGGGGGCATGGCCTAGGAAGAGTCCTGAGGGCCAGATGGAGAGGCCTTGTGGGCTGCAGTTGTCCTCTGAGCCTGAGGTTTCCCACCCCTGACCTAAATCCTGCTCTGGATGAGTCAATAGGCACAAGTACACACTGTTCAGTGGTGTCATTGTGTAACCCCAAGCAGAGCAACTTGCCTTTAAATTCTTGACATTTTCAACTTTGGTAGGGGGTAGGGTGAAGAGTACAGCACTCACCATCAGGCCTGTTCTGGTTAGGTTCAGGCAGACAATATAAATACTTAAATTTTAAAAAATGAATTAAATGTTATAGTGGTTACAGCCAGCATGGCTCCCTCCAGACTATGTTGGAGTACCAATCCCATCATCTCTGACCATTGATCCTATTTGCTGAGACTGATGGTCTGCTGACCACCTAAGCAGGTCAATCTCCATTCATCCTGTTGGTGAAGGCAAAAGGAGAAATCAAATTCCATTCCATTGTGCCATATTCCCAGGCCGTAAGCCAGGTTTGGCAGGTTGGTAGGGTTGCCAGGTCACCCATCTTTGCATAGTGTTATGCATGGAAGCCCCAACAATCAGCTGATTGTCAGAGTTTGCCAAATGCTATGCACAGGACCTTGCAGATACAAAGATACCTACCCACACCTGACACCATATATGGCATCAGGCTTAGGGCAGGTGGGTTCATCAAAATGGCTTCACCTGTCAAATGGGGAGGCCTGTCAGGCATTATGCCTATGGGCTGGAGGTTCTCCACTACTACCTTACACCAATGGGTAAGAGTTTATGAGGACTAGCAGCAGGAGACATCTATTGGATGTGTACCCTGCTTGTGTGCTTCCCAGGGTTATCTTTCTGCCCTGACTTTCTCTGACCCATAAGAAAGGGCCCCATTATTACTGAATTCTGATTTTTATAATACTTTTCCTGGTTTTTATGTTGCACCTGTTTTTATGACACTGCTTTATTGCATTTTTATATACCACTTCGATTTTTAAATATGAGGTTTAGAAATGCTTTTAAATGAATGAATAAGCAATAAAAAATTGTGGGAACCCTGGCATGCTGGACTGAATGGACCAGCAAAGTTTGGTCCCGAATGGCTCTGCTGATATCCTTGCTTTCTGCAAGTTGCTGACTCCTATTTTTTAAAAAAAAGGGCAAAGCCGGTTAATCTCTACCGCGGCTGATATGAGTTGTAGAGTTAGTCTGGAGCCCTGAAGAGCCAGCCAGAGGATGAGTTAGGCAGCTTTCGTGCAACATCCCACCCCTCCGATTTGGTGGTTTTGCCCTCGTGTCTTGTGCCTGGCCATCTTCCCTTTCAAAGCTTCCCTCACATGCGGGACTGGTTAGGCCTCGATTATTCATCCTTCCTGACGGAAAAAGGTTAGAGCAACAGGCTCTTGTGACACATGCCGACGTCATCAGGCTGGGGAGTGGGGTCTTGAGGCCTCTGCTGGGAACAATTTTGTTCAAAGGCTGTGGCACATTGGGCTGGATTGGTTAAGAGAAAACACAACAGATGAAAAGCAGGTTGCTGGCAGGAGAGGAGCATGGGCAGTTACTTGCACGAACCCTGGATCAGATATTGAGCTGAGCTGTTATCTCTAGCGCATAGCAAATAGCATGCCTGAATGTCAGGGACTCCGGGTATTTGATCTCGGCAGAGGTTGCCAGATCAAAATTACAATAAATGGAAAGGGCATTCTGGATTACTCTGGGTTTACTGGGAGCACTGATGTTCTGAAATAACCATGAGAGGGAAGGTGCCAGCATAGCCTATCAAAGTTGCCACCGTTGTTGTGTCAACATCCAGCTGGGTTTCAGGCCCAGTTCAAGGTGCTGGTTTGAGCTTTTAAAGCCCAAATGAGATCTGCTTCTATCAGAAAATGCCTCTCCCCATGAATGACTTGCTAGGATGAAAAGCGGAGGCTGCTGAATCGGTTGCAGGGATGACCTGGACTTTCCCATTTACTATTCCCACAGCTGTCAAATGAGGACTTCTGCCCATTGCTCTTAATTATAATGAAATAACCCACAGCACACTTTGGACAGAATCAGCAGGGTGTTGTTTGTTTGGGGCAATAATGCGTTTTAAAAATTAAAAATAAAACCTTGCTCCCCGCTTGCTTTTTGCACTGCATTTTTAGCAGGGTTATCAACTGGTTAAAGAATTTTATAAGTATGTTGTTATTGTTATTAAATGTATGTTGCTTGTTACATAAATAAACAGCACAGGCTGCTATCCTATACAAACTTTGGGGTAAGTTACTTTTCTAGGGCTTACTTTTGAGTAGACCATGTATAGCACTGTACTGTTAATCAACTTTCAGGTAGGTAGCTGTGTTGGTCTGACACAGCTGAAATAAATAAAAAAATGTCTAGTAGCATTTTAGAGAACAACTAAGTTTGTTCTGCTTTTGTGTGCATGCACACTTCTTCAGACGCACACGAAAGCTTATACCCAGAACAAACTTAGTTGGTCTCTAAGGTGCTACTGGACAATTTTTTGTTAATCAACTTGTAAGATTGTCTAGTGCATTAGACTGTCATACCAGGACTAGGGGTTCTCATCTCCAGAGCTATGAAGTTCAACTTACGACTATTTACTATCTCTCAACCTAAACTACCTACAGGGTTGTAGTGAGGATGAAAACAGGAGAGAATTGTGTGGGACATGCTTTATAAGTCACTTAAGAGACACATTTTGTAAGTCACTTAAGAGACTTCTTGTGTAGAAAGCAGCTGATACTTTGCAGTAAAAATAACACCGCAATTATAAAATTTGCTTCAATGTCCTCCAAGTGAACACAAAAGGCCCCTTTATCTCCACTTCCTATGTGGCTTCTCATGTGACCAGACACTCCTGTGCCCCAAATTCTTTTACAGAATTTTGGTCTTCTTCCAGCATCTCCCTCTTCTCATTTCAAGTTGACAAGAAGCCTCCGGGGCACAGAGTAGTGATAAGAGACCCTTTTGAGATCATACTATCTGTGGGGATGGTAGTGGGTATGAGGAAGGGTGTGGGAGACATGAAGGAATGGCCAAGTGATACAGATTTGCCCTGAGCTTACATATGAAGCTGTCTTATATATATATATATATATATACATATAATTTTATTCATTTAAAGTGTTTATAGCCCACCCTTCATCAATACAGATACCAGGGTGGGGTACAGAACAGAAAGGAAAAAAAACTACCACCCATTTGCCCTTGTAGATTTCAGCAGGTAAGAGAACAGGGACAAAAGTGAAATTAGTTGGCTCTACCTATCACCGGCTCTGGTTCTGTCTACTGTTGGGTCTCCCTGCCTTCCATCCTACCAGTCCCAATGGGCACCAGCCACCACTGCTGCCTGGATATGGCTCTCCAAGGCCTTGGGCAAGTATCATGCCACACCCTGCAAACTCAGAACGATCCACTGTATTGGAAAGGTTGGCAACTGAACTTGCGACTTTCTGCAAGCGAAGCATGTGCTCCACCACTGAGCTACGGCACTTCCCCATAACTGATGACCAACAGTACTTACAGTAATTCTCACTCCAGTACACCCAAAGGGTGGCACAGCTGTTTAGGGCACTTACAGCTTAGAACCCTAAAATGAATTCAAACCTGATTACCTCCCTTGGCTTCTACTCACACTGCAGGGAGCTAATTTTTGTGAGGGTGTTCAGAACAGTGTGAGATTATGAAGGGCCGTCCCATATCTGGCCAAAGACTCAGTCCTCCACCCTTTTCTCACAGAAGCCAACAGGAAGGCCACAAGCAAGACTTAGATGACCCTCCTGGTCCTTTCCAATTCTACAATTCTATGAGCGCTACCACACTCTTCCACTCCTATATCCCTGGTACTGAATCAGACTATTGCTCTATCTAGCTCGGAGGTCTACAGTAGGTGTGGGGAACCTTTGACCTTCCATAGGATGCTGAACTACAACTCCCATCAGCCCTAGCAAGCATGGCCAATGGCCAAAGATGGTGGGAATCGTAGTTCAGCAATATCTGGCCAAAGGTCTACACCAGTGATGGCCAAACTTGGCCCTCCAGCTGTTTTGGGACTACAACTCCCATCATAGCTAACAGGACCAGTTGTCAGGGATGATTGGAATTGTAGTTCCAAAACAGCTGGAGGGCCAAGTTTGGCAATCTCTGGTCTACACTGACCTTCAGCAGCTCTTCAGGATTTCAGATGGGCGCGGTACCTGGAGATGCCAGGGGTTGAATCAAGGAGTGTTTACATGTAAAGCAGATGCTCCATCACTGAACCACAACCCTCCCCCATGGCATTCACGCCCTCTGATATTGGAGGGGTGTGTGTGTGTGTGTGTGTGTGTATATACACATACATACAGACACACATGTATACACTGATGCACAAGTGTACACATACATAGCATTCAATCTCGTGTATAAGTTGAAATCATCATCATCATCATCCTCCTCCTCCTCGCGGCCCGCCTATCCCCGGCACACTCTGAGTCGGTCCACCGCAGAGAGTTTTGCCATGTGATTTACCCGTGTCTGTCGACCAAGAGAAGCCGTAAGGAGTTATTTACGCACGTTGGCGCTCCTCTCGTTTAGCGGCCAGAATGCCAGCAGCAGGTCGGTTCCGCCCCCAAATACTCCCACCTTCTGTCCCACTCGCATTCTCTACACGCTAGTTTGGGTCGTGTGAATTGGCCCGGGCAGGCGGCGGGTGTGTGTATGGGGAGGCGCTAGCTAGTCTTCCGGAAACCAGTCCAGCACTGGTCTTGGGCCCTCTCTGGCTGCGGACGGAGGAGGTGCTGTGGCGGCGCTGCCTTGCTGTCGTGCTCCCAAGCGGCGGTCCTGTGTGGCTGCAGAGCGCGCCATTCACAGCTCGGCCGCCGAGCTCTCTCCTCCTCCCGCTGCATGCCAGCACTACCAGCAGCAACCTTGCCTGCTCTAGGAAGCGGGCAGCCCGTGACGCTTTCCTGCTTCATTGCCTAATGCGATTTCCGTTCTCCAGCAGCTCAGCGGCAAGAGACGCAGACTGAAACACCCCCCACCCCTCCCCACTGATTTTCTGCAAGGCTCTAGCGGTGAGTGCCGGTTACATGCCTGGTATAGCAAGCGAGAAAGCTGTGAGGGGCTGGCGCACTGACACACACAGAGCGGCGGGGTGGTGGTGGTGGTTGCAACCAGATCCCCTTCGGTGCCAAAGCTGGGACAAAACTGCATCATGTTTGTTGCTTGTGAAGGGATTTTTGCAGCAGCGACCGTGCCCTTCTGCGCAACCACTTGCGTTTGGCAGGATGCCAGATGGACGCCCCCGCTCCTTTGCTGAATTCGTGTGTCGTAAAGTTAAACAATGTGGGATCGAGAGAGGATTAGGACCGGTGTGTTTGTGTGTGTAGACAAAACTGCTACAAGCTTAGGAGGTATTTAGGTGCAGGGGTGGAAACTGCCCAGCCTCCCCTTAGACTGTGTATAGCTGGGAGAGGGAAGCTGTGCCCCTCCAGATGGGGACTCCGACTCCCATTATCCCTGATCACTGGCAAGGTTTAGGAGCTGGACTCCAGCAACATATGGAGGGCCACAAGTTCCCCATCCTTGCTGAGCAGCAGCCTTTGCCAGTCTGGTGTCCTCCAGATGTAGCTGGACTCCAGCTCCCATCACCATATGGGGCTGGCTGGGGCTGATGGGAGTTGTAGATCAACAACATCTGGAGGGTACTAGGTTGGCAAAAACTGCTGTATGGGAATCAGCTGTGCTGCAGCTGAGTAGCAGAGTCTCTCTGTTTATAGGCCTCATCACCCTCTGTTCAGTTGTTCAGTTTGTCCATGAGTTGCCCAGTGTTCATTTTGCAACCTCCAGGACACCCTAGGCTCCCAAACCTACTGCCTTTCCCTTGTTTGGCCTGTAATCTGTCTAAAGTCATGAAAATGCTTTGGGTTGGTGAACTAAATTGTTTTTACAATGGTGGTGCATGAAGGCAAGCAGGAATATCTCTGCACCCCATCAGTCTGCAGAGGATGCTCTGAGAAACAGGTCACTGGCCACTTAAAAATGGTTACCAGCTCTTGGTCAAAGAGTGGGGAACCTGTGTGTCTCTTGGTGTTGTTGGGCTCCAACTCCTAATGCCCCTGCCAGCATGGCCCGTGGTCAGGGATGATGGGAGTTGTAAGTCAGCAAAAACATTAGAGAGCCATGAGCCTCACCCTGCCCCAGCTGTAGGTGAATTCCATCTCCATTGTACGTTTCCGAGCACAATTCAAAGTGTTGGTGCCGACCTTTAAAGCCCTAAACGGCCTCGGCCCAGTATACCTGAAGGAGCGTCTCCACCCCCATCATTCTGCCCGGACGCTGAGGTCCAGCGCCGAGGGCCTTCTGGCGGTTCCCTCATTGCGAGAAGCAAAGCTACAGGGAACCAGGCAGAGGGCCTTCTCGGTAGTGGCGCCCGCCCTGTGGAATGCCCTCCCATCAGATGTCAAAGCGATAAATAACTACCTGACATTTAGAAGGCATCTTAAGGCAGCCCTGTTCAGGGAAGCTTTTAATCTGTGATATTTTACTGTATTTTTTGTTTCTATGGAAGCCGCCCAGAGTGGCTGGGGAAACCCAGCCAGATGGGCGGGGTACAAATAATAAATTATTATTATTATTATTATTATTATTATTATTATTATTTCTGTCTGTCAAAAGTCACAGACAACAGCCTCTCTTCAAGTCACGTTGTAGGTGTTTTATTTTTTGAAAAAATATATTGCATGCTACTGCCAGGGTTTGCCAAAGTTCCACAGCCTGAGGCAATGACATTGCTGGGGTGCAAATTTGGAAGGAGCAGAGAAAGAAAGAAACCAAATTGTGAGTGTCCTCTGCGGATGTGTGCCTTATCACAGCTTCTCAAAATGGTTTACCACCCAATTGTGACTTGTGGGGTTTCAGCTGAGGGCTGTTTCACACATGGCACAGACCAGGAGATGGGGAACCTGTGGCTCTCCAGATGTTGTTGGGCTCCAGCTCCCATCAACTCTGACCATTGGCCATGTTAGCCGATTGGAGTCCCACAACATCTGGAGGCCACAGGTTCCCCATTCTTGACATAGTCCAAAAAAGGCCCTTAGTGATGGAAGCTATGGTCTGCCCACAGGTCAGAGGTATTATGCCTCTGAATACAAGTTGCTGGAAACTGCAAGCAGGGGGAGCACTTTTGTGCTCAAGTCCTGCTTGCAGGTTTTGCACAGGCACCTGGTTGGCCACTGAGAAGAAGATGCTGAACTAGATGGGCCATTGGCCTGATCCAGCAGGCTCTGCTTATGTTATGATTATGTTCTGCTTATGTTATGTGGAAGCCGCCCAGAGTGGCTGGGGAAACCCAGTCAGATGGGCGGGGTACAAATAAATTATTATTATTATTATTATTATTATTATTATTATTATTATTATCATTGTTATTGTTATTGTTATTTTCTTACGTGGATGTGACCTGTGTGTGGGTTACACATTTTGTTCCTATATTTCTCTCTCTTACTCTCTTTTCCCCAGCAGGGAGGGTGCACAGATGTTCGCCATGTGTCAGCCAGAGATACCCATTAACCCGCTGTTCAATGAGGCAAAGGGGAACTCTCAACTGGACACTGCTTACCTTGGTGGAAGGGACTGTCGGCCAGATACAAACCTCAATTTCATGGGCAAGGAGGCCTATGACACCAATGAGAACTGGAGCCAGTGCACGCCAGGGGAATCGGAGCAGCGAGGAGGGAACAATGAACTGGAGGCATCTGATAACCAAATAGTGCTCATGCAGAGGCAAATTGTAATGAGCCAACCACAGGATGTCCCCCAGGGCTTGAAGTCTGGTGGCATGTCCTTTGCCTCTGAAGAAGAGGAGGAGGAGGAGGAGGAAGAAGAAGAAGAGGAGGAGGAAGAGGACATCCGCAGACCACCAGAAGGAGCAGAAGTCAATGACCCAGAGCATGAGAAGGTGGTGACCAAGGAGAGGATAAAAGAAAGGAAGCTGGCCAGCTCCCCTTTAGAGGACAATGGTTATGCCAGCAGTTCCCTAAGCATTGATAGTCCTGACAGCGGGGCAGCCAGTGCTTGGGACATGCTTGCTGTTGCCACTGAAGACTGGAAGGGTCATGGAGAACCATGTTCCGCTGCTGACGCTGAGACAGAGAACTCACCTCCTAGTTCCGAGACCCTCTTCCCAGCACTGGCTGAGGCTTTCCGCAATCTTCAGGACAAGAAGAAGTTCAAGGAGCAGGAGAAAGAGAAGCACCATGTCCACTTGGTGATGTATCGTCGCCTGGCTTTACTCCGCTGGATCCGCAGCCTCCAGCAGAAGGTGGTTGACCAGCAAAACCGGCTGCAGGAGAGCTTTGACACCATCTTGGACAACCGCAAGGAACTCATTCGATGTGTCCAGCAAGGCATGGGTTATGCCAAGAACCCAGCTCAGGCAGAATTGTAAAGCACATGACACGCATTCGCACTTTTCTCTTTCTGTGGGCCCTTCAGTCCTTAGCTTGGTCACACAAGCGAGGTGCCTACAGATTTCCATATTTGCATGGGTGGGAGACTTGTGCTTTTTAAAATGTTTGATGTTCCTCCTGTGGTATACCAGAGCATCAGTAGCCCACTGAGCATGGGCATATTGAGCCCAGCACATGGTCCATATTATTTACAAGTAGATGCAACTTTTCAAGCTTGTTTCACTCTTTATTTTGGTGCATGGCTTCTCTTGGTGAAATGCAAACACAGTGGATAACAAAATGGAATACAGAGAATCTGATCCTATGATAAGGTCTCAAGAACATGAATAAAAGCTGGGAAGGACATTGGTATATATGCCTTGAAGCCTGATGTCTGGGACCAGGAGAAAGGAGCTTGAAAGGGGTCAGTTGCCATTGGCCTTTATGCCCTGTGTTGGAGAAAGGAACTTCAATCTGGCTCAAACCATGATACAAACAGTTTGGAGCAGAATCCTCATGATCCTGAATATCAGGTGATGCAAGACAGTCAATCCTGATGATACTTTGCCCGTTGCAGCTTCTAGATCTGTTACATTCCCTGAGTCTGAGCTACTTATTTTTCTAAGTGAAGCCAGAAGGCTACCCCACTGTGCTTCCAGGTTGTTTTCCTGCTGCCTGCCTTCTACACCGTCTCCTGGTCATTTCCCTGTCATACAATCATAGAATTCTAGAGTTTCATTTAGTCTAACCCCCGCAATGCAGGCATCACAGCTAAAGAATCACTGACAGATGGCCATCCAACCTCTGTTTAAAAACCTCCAGTGAAGGACAGTTCACCACCATCTGAAGCAGTCCATTCCACTGTTGAACAGCATTTACTGTCAGGAAGTTCTTCCTAATGTTTAGTTGGAATCTCCTTTCTTGTAATTTGAACCTCTGGAGCAGCAAAAAACAAACTTGCTCCATCTTCCTTTTGTGCTTGTCAACTGCAGAAACAGTGGTGTTGGCTCTGTTTCCCATCCAGGTCCAAGCTATCTGTCCTATTCCACTTCCTATTCTGCTTCCAGGTACCTCCAGCATATTCATGCACTGCTGATCCTGCTAGCACTAAAAACAAGGTGCCCGGAATGGGGGGGGAGCATGGAGAGATTTAGAATGATTAGAAAATGTGACTAGTTCTCATGATTATTTTTCTGCTTTTTATTTTTTATATAACCATTGTTGATTCCGTCCCTGCTGCTGCCCCAGTTAGTGTGGGTTGACTTTGCATGCACAGGATATTGCTTTTGTTCATAGCTTAGCATGTGTCCCAAAAAAACCCTCACATGCAAACTACCCCAAAGTTGTTAAGCTTTCCGATTCTGCGCCAATCCTTGAGGATGTGCTGAACCATTTCACAAGTCTAAATCTACAGGTTCAAATGCATAATTGCATTGTCTGTAAAAACTGCACCTTTTATGGATTTTGATCCTATAAGACAACATTCTTGTGACAGAATACTGGCTTTCTGCTTGCAAGATGTCTTATTTAAGTTTTAAAAGCATTTATATTTTGCATTTCCTCTAGTGGAAATAAGAGCTAAAATACAACCCTGGTGGTCTAGGCTTTTAGGGCTATTGCTCTAAATGTTTTCTCTAAATAAATTAAACCAAATCAATATTTTTGCTTTGCACCAAAAGGAAAGTTGTTCTCAAGAAATATTCTGGACTAATGTCCAGAGATTCATTATTTGTAATGATTGTTGCTATGTTTTGGGAAGGTATCAGTCCAGTTGCACAACTGCAAAAGCATGCAGTGTTGGATCTTGTTGGTGAACAATGACTGTCACATGGCTCAAAGCTTATGAAAACTGGGAGTGTGCAGCCAGCTGGAACGTGTCCAGAGCAGCAGGTTCCTGCCCACCCTGCATGTGTCTGAAGCAAAATGGTTTTTAATAAAACAGGTTGAATACGTCTAGCCTGCTAGAAGAATGGACAAGACACTGTCTCTCCAGCTGAAATCTTTTGTAATGTTTGCAGACCTACCAGTCCCATCTGGTCCAAATGGTGTCAGGTGCAGTACAGTGATCTGGCAAGGAGGGAAGTTGCTTCTTCCTGGCTGTCTTTCCAACTATTATAACTTTTTGGGTCTTGAATATTTTCACTGCTGCTGTCCAATATATTAAGGTTGGGCTTGTTTTTTTAAAGCTGTCAGGGCTGGAACAGCTGTCACCTAGTCAAATATTTCCAGTGGACCAACCTTGGTCAGAAACTGTCAAACGTTTCGAGGTGCTAAATATTTGCACTGGCAAAAGAGTAAGCTCTAGTGCAATAGGATTTCCCCCTTTTTCCTCTGCATGCATGCCATCCCCAATTCTGCTCTGAAGGATTGGGGGAAAAACCAGAACTGATTTAAGAGGCACCTGCGGTGCTGCAGGGAGGAGACGGGGAGAACATTCTGTTGCACAAGGAGAAGTCCTGCTGAAACATTGTCCTTGTCACTACGTTGAATACAACACTTCATGCTTAAGTGCCCTGTGGTCTGGAAAGTGGGCTCACCTGCATGGACTTTTGTTGCACTTAGAAGTAACCACCTCCTGCCTCCTTCTCTCTTGAGAGGCTTTTTTTTTTTTTTTTTTTTTTTTATAAATTTTTATTAATTTTCCAAACATAAGATAAGAAAGCAAACAATACACAAAACACCGACATACAAACATATAAACATGTATAATTTCATAGCCATTTTTCATAAACCTTACTTTCCGGACTTCCCCATACCTCCCCTTTTCTGCATCCTTGTTTTATATTTCTTCAGCAACTCCTCAATCAACTAATTATTCAATTCAATTTCTTTTAAGTTCTTCTAATATTATTAGTTACACTCTCTTGAGAGGCTTGGTCCTCTCACATCCCTCTCTCTCTAGCTTCTGCTGCTGGAACATATGCTGTTACCTGTGGCCCTCCAGATGTTGTGTCTAGTGGATAGGATAACAGGAGCACAGGCTTCATCTCCCATTACTGTAGCTATTCGGGCATCAGTTGGTAATATTGAACTTGAGAACTGCCTAAGGGTTTTGTTTTGTTGCTGTTGTTTTGTAGACTGATGAAAATCCAACCTTAACATGAAAGCATCTCCCATAATCGAACCTGTCTTTGGACCAAGTCCATAGGGTTGTATCCAACATTAGCCATACTTGGTGGAGACCCAGTTGAATGAATGGGCATGACAAATTTAGGTCCATTAATTTCAATAGGTCTATTCTGAATAGAACTTAGTTGGATACAATCCCTAGTCTTTAAGATGCATTCGTGTTTAAAGCTGCTACCCCACTGACCTTTGTTTAAATTATATTCAAGTTTTACTTGTTACATGCAGAGTATTTTTTTGAATGTCATGTGTTTACTTTTAGACTTTTTAAAAAATGCAGATAGCTCTATTTATAGTATATATATATATATATATCTATATATATCTATGTATTTTAAACAACTGGTGCCATATCAAGAAACTCAAATCCTTGGGTTGGGTTGAGGTGAGAATGAGTCTCAACTCTGATGTTTTATCAGGCTGAAGAGAATGAAGATTATGCGTCCAACATCAAAGACAAGATGTGATGTGAAATGTATGTTACTGTTGTGTATTTTTTTACAGAATGAATTTATTGCATAGTATAACATATTTATATCAGGAGACTGGATTAGTGGCATGAATTAGCATTACTACCTGGGAGTATTTGTTGTTATTTGCAATCAGTAATGCAAATTAGGAACAATACTGCACATGTCACCAAAAGATGAAAAGAAAATTCAGTTCTAATTATGGGCAAAACATGATTATTATTATTTACTTTTAAACCACCCTTTTACCTATAGGATCCCAGGGTGGTTTACAAAACAGATAAAATACAACATCACAGAACAATATTTAAATAGCTAAAAACCTTCTTACCGAAATTCAAAAATGACAATGTGATACATTCCATACTGCAAGTGTTTGTTCTGAGCAAAATAATCCACAAGACCATAAAGTGAGAACTTGCTGTTCATTCCCTGGGGAAGGCAGTTGAATGTAGAGCTCTAGGACATGCTCATATATGGCCATATTGTGGTGGCTGGAGCACCAAAAAGTTTGCCTCTAATGCTAGAAGCTGCTGGGAGCAAAAGCTGCATTTTTAAAATGGTATTTCTGCACTGATTAGGATCACTCTGTTGTGGGTGATGGTCCAGTCAGAAATGATGGAAGATTCTATAGCTATATGACTGCTTTAAACTGATTTAATAGTCATTCCCCTTTCCCAGTTTTTAGGGTATGGTGGGAGGTGTCACGTACAGATCTCTGGGCACCCTACCAAACTATAATTCCCTGTGTCCATTCCTGGATGCCGCTAAACGGGTAAAAGCTTGCTATGTTTGTGGTATAGTACAGACTATTATGTATAAATGGGTGGTTTTTGTATGTGCAATAAGTAAGCATGTGTATTGCTTGTGTGTTATTTTTCATTTAAAATAAAAAGTCCACATGCCTGCTCTTTGGTTGTAGGATGTTGCATATTCTATAAATGGAAAACAGAAAAGTGTGATACTTTTGTAGGATAATGCCTGCTGTACAGAGGTAAAATTCACATTTGCTGCTCAGCCTACTTTTGCCTCTGGGCCCACCCACCAAGGGCCCTTAGAAGGGTTTCCAGAAAGGAATGTGGCTCTTGGGCTGAAAACGTTTCCCCATGCCTGATCGGTGTGATCTCCTTTAGTGCCAGGATCTGAAGCAATGTGAAACTAGTTTAGCAATGCAAATTCAAGGGAGACTTAGTTTTTCTTGAAACATAACTGTAGCTAGTTTCACTCTGGGCCTCATGGCAAGCTGATTTTGAAACTGCAGTTTCTCAAGCAGTTTGTTATTGGGCAGACATGGTGGAATCACTTATTTCAAGGGTGGGTAGCCTGTGGCCCTCCAGATGCTGATGGACTCCAACTCCTACCATCAACCACATCTAGCCTGGCCAATAGTCAGGGTGATGGAAATTGCAGTTCAGGAACATCTGCGGAGCCACAGGCTCCCAATCTACAGGCTATTCAAAGGAATAGTCAAAAGACTGGTTGAGTTCTCCCAGTTCCACACAGAATGGGAACAGTTAGAAGACACCTTTAGGCAGAGTGCAATGACCATCTCAGGCAGCCATCCTGGGGTGCAGGAAGCAGTCACCTTCAACAGTCCCTCTTAAGTCTTTTCTGACCATTCTGCTCAATTGCCACATGGCACCATTACAATGTTGGGGTTGAACCACAAGGAGGCATGGCCAAATGTAGTAGAAAGAGATGGAAAGTAGGTCTCCAAGATTTATAGTACTTGTATGAGATTTTGTTTTTCACTGACACCACTGAATGCAGGATTGGGGGTGGGGAGGTAAAGATACTGATAGAAATCACTCTGAAAATAGGCCACATTTATGCACAGAGCGTCAGGAGCAAATTCTTCCCTGGCTTCCAGAGAACAGTGGATACCGTGAGAAACCTTGTTCTTTCTTTAAATGAAACTCTACCCTTGGCAAATTCCAAATATAGATTGTGTGTTTGTTGGCTTTTAGCATCCTTGAATTTCAGCAGACTGAAAAAGAGGAGGAAGAGATGGGAAAACAAGGTGAAGAAAGGTTCAAATGAGTGTTTGAATAGTCTGTTTAATCTCCACAAAGCCTTGGGCAGAGTCACCTTTAAGTCACGGCTCAGGTGTTTATAGGCCCCTTTAGTAAGCTACCCATCTCTCCTTGTTAGCTGACAGCCCTGAGGCAGTTTGGGAGAATTTAATCACTTGAGTGCTGCATACCTCTCTCAGGCCTGGATTTACAGATGCCATCCCGGTTTCTGATTTGATCCCAGAATGTCCCACTTTTCCTTAGGACGTCCCTATTTTCATTGGAGAAATGTTGGAGGGGATGCTTTTTATGGTGGTCCATTGTTTGTTACCCTGTTCTTGTATTGTTATAGTTTATTGTCAGGCAGTTTTTATTGGAGATTCCAAGCTGCTCTGTGAGGGAAGTTCCTCAAAAAGTGAGGGTGTACACTTTAAAATGATAAAACAGAACAGAACATGCTTCGCCACCCCCCAAAAATCGAGATTTTGAAGCAAGGTAAGTTATAGGAAAATGCACAGGAAAGTTTGGAATAATGCTTGCTTGTATAACTTCCCTGCAAACATATCAGGATGAATGCTCAATAAACAGGTCATCTGGAAGTGACCAGGGTAAGAATGGTTATTCCTCAGGAAATTCTTTATTTATTTTTAGCCATGAGGTAAGTTAGCCTGTACAGCCAGAACATAGGCCATAAAAGAATTAATGAATTGAACTATTTCTCAGGCAAGGACAGAGGCCTATAGCAAGAGCCTGGCCGTGGAGTTGTTTCACTTGAATCACTAATAGAGAATTTTGCAAGCCAAATCAGTTGGGATGTGTCATCCTCGCTCTTGTCTTCTTTGCTGCCACAAAATGGCCTCGGGTGCTTTTCTGTGTCATGGTGGCTATATTTAGGTTCCCTGAGACAGGCTGTGGAGCAAAAGACAAATTTACAGTGCAACCCTATACATGTCTACCCAGAACTAAGACCCATAATGTTCAGTGGGGCTTGCTCCCAGGTATATGGGTGTAGGATTTCAGCCTATACCTGGTATTTAGAAGCTCTCTAAATGGCTTGGTGCTTTTGTTTTTATGCAGCCTGCAGAGTTGCAACCGGGGCCTTGGCAGCATTCATGAGGAATTGAGGGGATGCTTCTCAGAGAGGAAGGCAGACATTTTGTGAGGAGTTGGGAGCATTCTCTTCAGAGACCGAGGCAGTCATTTTACGAGGTTTTGAGGAGGATGTTCTTCAGAGGAGGAGACAGACATCTTGTCTGACCTAGGGCCGCCCATATTTACATATGCACAGGCCCAATGTCCCTTTGCAGGTTTATTCTGGAGGGTACACCTTACTTTTGTGTGAGTCATACATGTCTAATGTGCAAGAATATGTCTCCCTCACCTTTTTGGCCCACAAGGAGTACCAAGTTGAGTTAGTTATTGGAGGATATTCCTTTGCTCTGTTTTCTAGAGAGGACATACCGTAATCTTTCTACCGTGGCATCCTGAGAAAGGACACAAAGCAGCCTATTCTGTTCATATCCTCATACCAACAACTGAAGGGTAGGGGCATCTATCTGTGTCATCATGGGCGAAAGGAGATTGCTCAACTTGCTCCATTCCTTCCACTGACGGAAACTTCAAGAGCCGACCCTTTTGAAAGTGTGTGCTGAATAGATTATAAAACCTGTGGCGTATCTACATATGCATCCCCCCAAGAAAAGATAAAACAAGATTGAAAAGGGGCACAATTTTGCATAATATTTACACAAGCTGATTTATATGTAGAGGTACAGATTTAGAAATTTCTGTAATTTAAGCAGAAATATAATCCCTCTCACCCTAGTAGTGGAGATTGTGGACAGACAGGTGACCTGTGTGCCTGCTCAGTACGTTGTCCAGGTTTTAATGGGCTCCTCCTGCTTCCTTAGGGTTCATATTGAAACAAGACTTGGACTGGGGGGCCACTAGGGGCGCATTGGAAGATGGCCGACAATACCATCTCTCCGACCCACACGGGGTAATTAAGAGGCTGTTATGGGAGTAGGCAGCCTCCCTTGTTGCCCCAAGGGAAAGGGGAACACTGCCCTTGCCTGTTGTGCCCATAAATCACCCCCAAATTCGAAAGAAGGGGGTGAGGGCACTAGGCAGAATGCCCCCGTGTGGACCTCGGCTCTCCTGGACGCTGTCTCTGATCGCGCACTAGCTGCAGCAATTTGGAATAATTAATTACAAAAGAAGCAAATGCACATATTTCAAGTGAAAAAGGGGAGTGAAGACTGCTAATTTAAGTGACCTCTCCGAAAGAAGACGACGGGTTGGAGCAACAGGAATATTTTACAATGAAGATACACCAAAGGCTGGGTATGTCGGCAACGGGACTGAATGGGGGGGGGACCTTTTTTACTTTCCTTCTATGTGATTTACCAAGAACCCCTCCTCATTAGAACCGTTGGTTTAACTGACCCAAGCAGGATGATTAAGGTCTGTGTGGAGATAAACTTTAACCAAAAGTATGCTTTATGGAGATCGAGAAGCAATAAGAGCTTTTGGAATGGCGCAGCAATTAATTCAGAGTCGCCATCTTGCCAAAGGATTTATAGCCGGGAGGAGGAACGGACTTGTTTTCAGACTGCATTCCTGGTGAATCTCCTCAGAGGTTTGAGAAAGGAGGCAGATTGGTGAAGATTAATGACGCTAAGACTGTTTTGATGTATGGAAGTGATGTTATATGGAAAACGTCTGGATATGGCTACTGGATAAAAAAAATAATATCCACGCAGGATTACAAACTGTTTTAACCAGCTTGTGGAGACTATCAGAGGTCACAAAGAGAAAGGAAAAATATATGAAAATAACAACAAGAGATGTGGAAAAACAATAAGAAAGGACTGGATAGTACTGTGAGCATCATATGGTTAGATTTGTGGACATTAAAACAGCAGCAAGAAGCAAGAAGTTGATTGGATCCCTTCGGAACTTGAAATATGGGTACCCCCAACAAAAATTTAAAATTCGGCTGTGTAATTTGGAATTTATGTAATTTGGTTTGATTTGATGTGATTGGTCGGTTAATAAAAAATTATTCTTAAAAAAAAAGAAACAAGACTTGGACTGGACAGTCATTCAACTAGAGCAGGGACAGGAAACTGAGTCCACATGCTGGGCCAGATTATTACCTTCCCCTCAGCCCTCTCAAGTCAAATTTGACAGGTCGGTGTGGCCGCCACCTGTCAATCACTTGCCATCACTTATATGTTGAGCCTGGAAGGATGAATACCCTCTATCCATTATGCAATGGTCTGAGGGCCACATGGCCCTGGCTACATTTGAACATAGTTCAGGTCAATTTTGTGTGGCTGACATACATATACTGATGGTTATTGTATCTGTAATGTGAACTGATAGTGGGTTTTTGTTGTTGGCATTATTTTTATTTTATTTATTTTATCCTTTCTTCCTGCTTTCCTTTGTATGTTAAATTTACAAATAAAACAGTAGTAATAGTAACAACAACAACAACAACAACAACAACAACAACAACAATATCTCTTCACATTACAATGACGTAAGGTCACTTATTTTTGCCCCCACCCCATGGTTTGATATCAGACTGTGGGCAAAGGCACAGTTTGCAAACCGCTGACAATCAGCTGATTGTCAGGTCTCGTGAAGCTAGCGGCATAGCGCTTCAAATGGGGCTTTGCCGTCTTCATCCTTTCCCTTTGTCAGTAGCAGTAGTGACACTGCTGACATATGGGTGCTCTCTGTCCTGGAAAGGGAACTAACGTGTTGAAAATCAATGGCCGCAAGCTGTCTCTCAGATTCATCCCTGAATCTGAGGTACGATGAACAATACAAGCCTACCTTACAGACCTGTTGTAATGAGGTAATGCATAAACAACCGCCTTGTGGTACCTT